GCTTGACGACAGATGTTTGGACTGCTCAGTCTCCTTAATCATGTAAGTCAGTCCCATGCAATAAATCATGTATTATAATATATAGTATAACAATGGGATATTTTATACCTATCTACTTGGTTGTTTCTCTGGAGAAGCCAGACTAATAGAGAATGTTCTTGCTGTACAAAGCAACTGTTTGAAATAGCCATATTAATCATTTAACAAATATTTCAGGCATTTTTACATCTTACTATAACAGCTTGTTACTTGTATATATAGGCACTTTACTGTGAATTAATCATGTTTTAGGAAGTTGGTTGAGGTTGTGATTTGATATATAAAACAATATAATTTTCCCTATTTAAAATATTGAGAAATATGCTCTAAATTAGCATTGATTTTTAAAGTGTCTAATTTCACAAATAGATTTCTGTTTTTAAGTGGAGAATACGTAACGTGCACAACACCATACCTAAAGCGGAAATGCTGGGTAACGGACTGTGTGTATTCTAAACTTGGCTAGCTAATGCAAGGTTGTTTTCCAAAGGTGTGGTGCGATATTCCCACCTGGTGTCTCCGGGAATTCTGTTGCTGACATCCTCACTGACCGGGGGAACCAAACAGCCCAGTGTTTGAGGAAAAGTGTACTTTCAAGGGAAAATGCCAATTACGAAACCTACAAGGATTGTAGAATGGGAAAGAAATCGTTTCACAGACCCAAATGATAATAGATTAAGGGAGGGATTTTTAAATGGTGTGAAAATCATGAAGTAAATGGCGAATGGGAACCTGGCCATCGGTTAATTGCTACAAGGAAACCTCACTCATTATTCCTTACTCACAAGGGGAAACACTCACCTGCACCCTGGAGGGGAAAGAAAACCACTTAGTGTGAGATCAATCAATTGTCACGTCACCGTGGCTGATAATCAAGTATCATGTGCCTTTTGATATGTAATGCCACAGTGATATATAATGCCAATTATGACATTATTGCCTGTGGGCATTAATGCCTACGATTTATGATAGGCAAAGATATTTAAATTAGACTTGTTAAGGCTGTACTATAATGTACAATTTGTAAGAGATGCAGGGCAGACTAAGAAGTTCAATGGCAGCATAGCGAAGAAGCCAGGCCAGTCCAGGCTGCTCTGCAGGAGGTCACTGGGCTGGGTTTTTTAAAAAGTCATCATCGTAAAAAAGAGGTTGTGATTGCTCAGAAGAAACTTAAGGGACATAAGATCCTGATGTGAGTTTGATCCTATGTGTGATATTGAAGCGGACAAACCAGCTGTAAGGAATAGTTTTTGGATTAAGTGGGGAATTTTGAACATAGTATTAAGACCTGGAAATACAGGTATTAGTGTAATTAGTTGTGGGGGGTCTGACAAAGGATTGCTTTAATTACATTTTTATGGTTTTCTACAATGCATATCTGCTACTTTTGTAATAATTTTTAAAGATCACGCACTAGATAAAAAGTTCATCTAATGGACCAGTTTTTATAATTGATTAATTTTTAATGGAGTATATTTTCTGGTGCAAATTAAGGTATAAAAGAGAACCATTTTTCTGCCAAATAATAATTCATGCATGATTGTCATCTTATATTATAGATAATCTCACTGGAAATAATTATTACCTTGATTGATATTAAAAAGACCACTACAAAGGACCACAGTTAACCTAGAGTCTTCTTCCATTGTGATTGTGTGTATTTTAATATAGTTCTTAAACTGGGTGGACTGTGTTTTTCTCTATTCCTCTAACATTTTGTAATGTTGGCCCCCTAGTTTTTATTTCTGTTATATTCAGTTTATTAAAGCAGAAATGAATTGATTAAAATAAATTATGAAGAATTTATATACAGGCAGCAATCTATAATTATGAATAGTTTTTTACACTTCACTCACTTCATTTTATTTATGTGTATTTTTAAAATCATGCACCTCTCCTTTCTCCTGCTGTACCTTGAAAGCCTGGAGTATATAAACAGTCAGTTTTCTCGTGTGTTCCCATCAGCAACTCTTCTGTTGATTGATTTGATCACAAGACGGGGGTCAGATCATTTTGGCCCATGAGTCAGCAGACACGTGTGGACAGCAGCATAGTGACAGCTGTGACCCACCAACTCTCCGCTGTGCGGGGCTGTCCTGTGCATCGTAGGGTGTTTAGCAGGACCGGCGGCACACACGCCGCAGCCGGGATGGTCGAAGAAGCCTCCAGACATGGCCCCCCAGGGGGCAGAATACATGAGTGCCCCAGGAGAACCACTCAGCTAGCGCTCTCCATGATGCCGAGCGGTGTTAGTCTGTTTATCTGTTTATCAGTCCCTCGTAGACCATTCAGTAGTGCTGCTGTTGGGAAACCTTATGCTAATTGTTGGGTGCTTTGGGTTTATCTAAGGGGGTGACTGACCCACTGAAGGTGAGTATGGGGTGGGGTCGTGGAACCCTTGCTTGGAACCAGGAGCCGAAGCTGGAAGGACCGGTGGAGGTAAGCAGGCAGAGGAACCGGCTGTGTTACCGGAGGTGCGTGCAGCGTGCCCTGGGAACATGGAGGGCAAAGTCCAGTTTGGGGGGGACGATGAGGAGGGGGCAGGCACAGACCGTTGTCAAGGAAGCCTTCTCAGGGATGCTTGAGCTAAGTGTAAGAGGATGATTAGGAGGTTGTTATGTGAACAGAGGGATGGATGGGGTGATGTCAAAAGAGTTCTGGAATTTTATGTTCAAACTGAGGTCAGCGACTCTGCCAAGGGTCATTTGAGGAAGTGGCTTAATCAGTCCCGTAAGATAAGAGTAAGGTCACAACACAAAGGACTGACTGTGCGACAGCAGTTGGCTTGCCCTGTAGGCAGTCATCCTATTTTTAAAAATTCGCATGTTTAAAAACGTTACAGGACTGTGTTGCAATGATGAATACAGAAGGCGATCATTACAGCTTTAATGTCTAAGTTGTGGGGAATTTTCCAGATGTATTTCTCTTACTGATTGCTGGTTTAATTTTGTTACGGTCTGAAGACATACTTCGTATGATTTGTATTCTTTTACATTGGACAAAGTTTGTTTTATGGCCCAGAGTACAGTCTGCCTCGTTGAACGTTCCGTTTGCACCGGAAGGAAATGCTTACTCAGGTGGATGGGGCGTCCTGCAGTGGGGTGGCGTTGTATGGGCAGGTGGTGGATAGGGTTGCCCATGTCCCTCCGTCTTCACTGACGCCCTGCCTGCTCCTTGCAACAGCTACTGAGAGAGGACTGTCGGCGTGTCAGGTGGTGCTCGTGGGTTTATCTGTTTTTCCTTTCAGAATGATCACTTCTTGTCTTGTGTGTGTTGAGGTTGTGTTGTTAGGGATGTGTATACATTTAGAACTGGAGAGTTGACCTATTATCATTATTGTCATTGTTGTTGTTATTATCTAATTTCCCTCTTAAACAGTGATCGTATTCTCGTTCTGGAGTAAGTCTGTGTGATATTATTATAGCCACTCCAGCTTTCTTTCACTGGTGTTTGCATGGTATATCTCGTCATTTTACTTCTAACCTATATAGGCTTTTATAGTAAGGGGACTTATTATAGACAGCATATACTTAAAAAACCCAACCTGACAATCTGTTTTTATTGGTATGTTGGGGTCATTCACATCTTGTCATTATTGATATGGTTGGATTAAAATGTGTAATCTTTCCCTGGCCGGGTGGCTCAGTTGGTTGGAGCATCAACATGTACACCGGAAGGCTGCAGGTTCGATTCCTGCTCAGGGCACTTGCTTAAGTTCCGGTTCCGTGGCTGGTTGGGGAGCATGCTGGAGGCGAGTGATTGATGTCTCTCTCTCACACCAGTGTTTCTCTTTCTCTCGAGTCAATATTTTAAAAAAAAACATATCCCCGGGTAAGGATTAAAAAATAAAAACATTTTTAAAAATCTACAATCTTGCTGTCTGGTCCCTCTGTTCACTTCTTTGCTGTCTTCTGTTTGGTTAACTGGGCATTTTTCTTATGCTGGCATTTTATCCTCACTACTAACTTATTACTTATATTTCTTAAAGAAAGTTTAGTATTGCCCTGGAGTTTACAATGTATACTTTCAATTAATCTGAGTATGTCTTCAAGTACTATTCGCTTCATGTGTAGAATTTGTCTTTTCATTATATAGCACCGATTTTAAAAGAGTGTACAATCATATCTACCACTAGTTACATTATTTTAAATTCCGAACCCTGTAACCTTGGACTGTGTCTAGCAAATCCTTAACAACTGTGTAAGAGGGAGATAAGAGAGCCCTTATTAGTGTGTCTGACTATCTCCGTGGTGTGAGCGCTCCACCCGTGGCCGTGGCCGTGCTAGGCTGCCACGGAGCCACGGCTGACTGCGGAGCCGGGGAGAAGCGGGCGCAGTCCTCGCACCCACCCGGCCAGAGGCGCAGGCGCCTGCGCACGCTGCTTCGCCCCGCCCAGACCATCCCTAGGGTCGCTGAGATCTGTCTTTGGTTTTTGGTTACTGTTTATATTTCTGGGACCTACAACTTTCAATTCTCAAGCTTTCCGGTATCCAAGGAGTCTGCAGCTGCATGGTTTACCCTTTTGCAAAGTTACCTTCTCTTGCTGCTGAAGACTTCAAGGTCGTTACAGACGAGCATATCCCCTTCAAAGGATCTCTTTCCACCTTCGGAAATGCCACTAGAGGCTCCCACATACCACTCTGTAGGAACTGCGCCTGGGCCCATGCTGGACAACGCACCACGAGGAGAGGACGCACCGAGCCCTTCTGCAGTTAGAAGTTGTTGGCGACAGCTAGCCGGAGCTGGCTGCCCTGCCCCGCCCCTGGGGCTTAGAGCAGATTTAGTTTGGGGAAACAGTCTGTGAGGGTGAGAGGGCAGCCTGTGCATGTTGTCTTACCAGGAGAACTGAATCACTGGGTGGGGATAGGTTAGCCAGAGGTCTGTGTTTCAAGGAGCTAAAAATAGCCGCCTTGTTGCTTGCTCTGCTTCTAAACAGTCCCCAGCGCCGGCCAAGCGGTGCCGGTGGCGGAGCGGGATGAGGGCCTAAGTTGTTATTTACAGCAGGACGGGGGAAACGGAGCAGCACGGAACGGGTAGTGCTTTCTGGAGGAGTCCGTTTTGAGACAGTCTTCAAGAGTAGTTCAATGCCAAGGTCTCGCTCTAGAAGGGAGAGTTCGAAGCACTCATGGTAACTTCTCCATAACTTCAACAGAAGTGTTTTGGGAGGTGCGGGTGGGGTAGAAAAGCGAACAGAAGGCAATGCTCCGTCCTCGGGACCGAGGACTCACGTGTGGAGACGAGGAAGGGTCACAAGGAGGCCACAGTGTACATTCAAGATGACGTTTCGAGGAATGGGAACCTTGACTGAGCAAACACATAGGTTAGTACTTTCTGCTGTTATCTTTTCTCCACATTCCAGGATGTAAAATGGTAAAAAGGGAATTGGAAGGCTCTGAAAGCTCATTTCTCAGGCCTTGCTCCCTTTTTCAAAGTCCCCGCCGTCCTGCACGCCGCCGCCAACTTATCAGCATTCTTCCAGAGGGTGATTGGGCCATAAAACACATCTTTATGGTAAATAAAAGTATGTAAGCTGGAGTTGCAAATCATTTAAATTTCCATAGGGATGGTGATTCCAAAACACTCCTTAGTGAACTGTTGTCACTATTAATCACCTTTATAGCTAAGAAATTCAGGCGTTTTTTCTGCCCCAAATATATGCTTTTTTTCCTACGAGTTAAAGAATGCTTACTTAGATTTATCCTAATAACAACACCTTAAACACGGAAGAACCAGTGTAAGTTACACTATAGTTACTTCCCATTTTTTGTTTCTTTTAAACCATGTAGTTTTTAGGGATAAAAGGAATTCAATACTCATTTTAAAAATACAAAATGTAGTAAGACATGAATAAAAAAGAAAAATGAATCATAACTCCAACACTCAGAGAGAAGTACTGTTAGCATTCATAGTATTTTCTGCACCTTTTTCTGACATAAATATTTTTAAAGTTGGAATTATACTGCATGTACAGTTTCCGATGCTAACACTTCCACCATGCGCATGCAGAAAAGACCTTTATGCAGAAAAAACTTTTGTCTTTTCCTGCCCTGTAAACATTCTGACTCTCCAGTCATTATTTGCTGAGTCATAGCCCATCCCACGGATGCCTCATAAACTTCATCAATACAGTTCCCTTTTCTATAACTTCAAATCCCCTCACCTACAGCCTTTTATCTCCTACAATCTCAAAATGCAGGCAGTGAGCGGTGAGAAGGAAAGTGTTTTTGTGACTCATCTTAGGGCACCTGGGCTGGCCTGATCTAATGAGGTGGCAACACTCACCTGCACCGACAGGAGGCTGTTTACTCGCTACACCCATCTCCCTTCAAGTGACGTGTTTCACAGCGCCCGTGTGGATGGACTGTAGGGTGTCCTCCCCGACCCTCAGGCCTAGGCTCTGCGTTCTACAGCCCCCAAAATGGTGAACTCAGAAAATTCCTGTCCAAGGGTTTTAGACCAGAGATCATGGATGGGTTTTAGATTTTTATTTTTTTGTTTTCATTAATAATATGGCAAGGAACACTCACGTGTTTACATCCTCTGTGTGTCCTTCCCATGAGGGACCCTTTACTAAATAGAAAAGAGATGTGCGAGCATTATTACGTCTCAGGTTTTCCAGTGATATCCCTGGAGGCTTCACCCCCAGCCGTGTTTAAGATGGCTCAGCCTGGGGAGTCTTCCCTTGGCTGAGTAATTAAAAATTCTATTTATTCAGTATTTTAACAAACTATAGAAATGGTCCCTGAAAGTATAGTTTTTATTTTCAGTATTTTTAAAGATAAATTGTAAGCCCTGGCTGGCGTAGCTCAGTGGATTGAGCGCAGGCTGAGAACCAAAGTGTCGCAGGTTCGATTCCCAGTCAGGGCACATGCCTGGGTTGCAGGCCATGACCCCCAGCAACCACACATTGACGTTTCTCTCTCTCTTTCTCCCTCCCTTCCCTCTCTAAAAATAAATAAATAAAATCTTTAAAAAATGATAAATTGTATTACTTTTGTGTGTAATCGGTCCTTTTCTGATTTTTCTATTAGGCTGCTAGTGGATTTCTTAATAATTTATTTATTTTTAAAAAATTAATGAATTCCCTTTTTATATTATGCATGCCAAACATTATTTTAATTTTCTAATTAATTTTGTTTGTGATATATCATATAGTCAAATTTATTGATTTAGCAATGATGTATTTTATTTTTAAAAGAGTGGTACTTTCAGTAAACAACATACTTTCTATTGTCTGTATCAGGCATTAGCCTAAATGAATATGATATATATATATAATTAATGTATATAATTAATATACCCTGTAACTTGATTTTTGTCTATTAATTGGCCAAAATCCAAAGCAGAGAGCATTAGAGACTTGTAACACTACCATTTCTTTCCATTTCTCTAGTGTGTTCTAAGTTTCATATTTGATATTATGCGAACATTGTCCAGTACAGGAATCTTCTTAATGATACCTATATTTCATTATGACTTGAAATATTTTTCTTTATAAAATGGTCCTCTTTATATACTTTATTTACCTTGATTTTTCCTTTATCCAGTTTTATTATTGCCAGCTTTATTTCTTATTTGCCCTTTTCTATGTATCTTGGCCTGTAATTTTCCTTTTTAACTATTTCTGTCACTTTGTTTAAGTTTCTTTAGCTAATCTGATTTTATGTTGCAGAATTTAAGCCATTTAGGCTTATTGTTGTAATTGGTATATCTGTTCTGTTGTATTTCTCTGCTTCTTTTGTTAATTATTGGATATTTCTATTTTTATGTATTTTTAAATGTCATAAGATTTTTTAGTATTTCAGACAGTAAATGCCTTATTTTAAAATTTTACTAGTATTATATTTAAATTAAAACTGTTTTAATTTGTAACTAATTATCAGACTCAATATTTAAACAGTTGAATCTCCGTGATTTAAATTCTCTAACTTATCCCACTTTCTTTACTTTTTCTCTATTAAGCTTCTCTCTATTATTGTCAGTATAATTTAATATATTTGTTTCATACTGTAGCCTAGTGGAAGAGCGATGGTAAACAAACAAAAAATAGATTATATGGGATTGCCACCCATTGTGATTCTCAACTTTTATTCATGGGATTTTAGCAATAAGCAGTCCATCGATTTTAGTTTTCAGTGTTGTTATGATTTTATATGTTTGTGTTTTTGTAAGCATTTTACTTGGAAGATGGAAGAAACGATTTAAAATTTAAAATGGTTTAGGCAGACTGATAATGTCATCCAGACCCAAAGTGGTCGACATTTTAAATTAATTTTTATGCAGAATGCATTAATCACCTCAACTGCTCTAGAACTCTCGAGAGCTCACAGAATGTGTTAAATGTTGCAAGAGTGGCAGATAGCTCAGGTCGGTTTGTGGTCATTTGCAGCAAGTGGACACATGCTTCATCTTGCATTACAGGGGTGTCAGGGGTTACTCTCTTGGCCCTTGGACCATCTTTTCTGAGGGGGCGTCATGGGAACTTCCTGTAGGACAGAGACAGTTAACCCCATCCATGTTTTTCTCCCCCTGTTACTCCTCTGCTGTAGAGCAGAAGTTCCCGTCCTTGTCTGGCCAGGGGCCGAATGAAGATAAGTGAAACCGGTGTTGCTAAGCTGAAGTGCAGGTGACTAAGGAGCTCTTGTTTTCACTCTGAGCTTCGAATCTGTGCAAGGTAGGAAAAATGAGCTCTGGGTGACTGCACTCATCTTTCTTGCCCAACTTTCTTCCCAAGCACGAAAACCCCATGTTCCTGACTGTTCTGAGCCCCTGAGCTGGTAGAAATGACTTCTCTTCTTGAGATGTATTTTGCATCTTTTCTCTTCATTTTCAGTAGGTGTCTCAGTCTGATTCTCTCCAAGCTGGGTTCTCCTAAATATATTTTCTATCTAACCTACTTTTCAATTCCTTTTACCATGCTATACATCCAACCGTTCTCATTTCTTGCCTAGCTAGGACAACAGAATCTTTTGAACTAGTTTCTCTGCATCCAGTCTCACACTTTTTCAAACTCTTTCACAAACCCTTGTAATTTTTATCATCGAATCAGAGTGTGATTTTACCCACCTAAGTGTTCTAAATGACTTCCATTGCCTTCGAAGAGATAGCTTAGCAAGACGTGATTCCCTCACAATCTAGTACTAACCCATCTCTTTATTTATCTATTCACTTACTCTCCAGAGCCTAGAACATTGTATTTCCTAAGTGAATGTTTTCAGACGGCAGGAGTAAGCCTCTGGCTGTGGCCAACGATGACGGGTGGCGCACCATTGAAAGAAACAGTACCAGGAAGCAGAGGCAGGCAACGTTAGTGATAGGAAAGCAGCAGCCTCAGGAACTATTCCCCAATTTAGTTACCGGAACTTTTACAGTTCCTATGGGGATGATACACATGTAGAATAAAGTTTAAAGAATAACAAGAGGAGAATTCCAGGTCCGATGGGCAGTGCAAAGGACAGTTACGAGGTGGGTGTTACGGGCGAGGTGAGGGAGAGGTCAAGAGTGTTTTGGAGGAAGACAGCCTGGGCTGCAGCCCTGGCTGGTCGACTCATCAACTCGGGAGAGTCGCCTGACTTCCCTGAGGTTTGGCTTCTTTGGCCAAATGAATAACACTAGTATCCTCCTGATACGCTTGTTGGGAGAACTCATTAATCGATTCAAGTAAAGATCTCGACATAGTAAGCGTTCTATGAAACTTAGCTATTATGGTTATTATCATTAACCTCATGTGTTTGAAAGAGAAAATAACTTTTTGCTAAGGTTTCTCGATATCAGAGTTAGATGATATCAGCCATCAGCTGCTTCCTAGTTTACAGGAGAAATCCAACTTTAAAATACAAATAGGAAAAATAATGTTGCCACCTGATTCTTATTTTTAAAGGTAGAAACCATTTTTGTTCCCCCATCCCACGCTCAGTTATTTCAAATACTCTATTTAAAATTTGGGCTCTTGTCTTCTGTCCTTTAAGAGCAAAAGGCTACACACTTGACTCATAACATGTATTTCGAACTCAGTACTCAGTCATGGTAGTGATAATCCTTGAGACGGTAACTGTTTGTTTTTTGTTTTTTTTGTAAATTTATAAACCATTGCATAAGGGTGCATGACAGCAGTCCCCAATCCTTGAGATATTTTAGAGAGGATTTTAGAGCATGGTCAGGTTAAATTGTGCTATAAAGGCCCTTGTCTAACTCAAAATGATTTTCTTGCCTCTATTTTCTACTCTCTGTTTCTCTTACCTGTTGGCCTCCTTGCCTGGCGTACGCACCCAGAGCCAGCTTCACTCTGCTTTTGACTAAGAGCAGAAGAAGCGCGGCTGACCGTGAGGTGGCTTTCATTGGAGGGGACATGCATGGCACAGGGCACAGGGGACGGGGGAGGGAAGACAGAGACACAAGGAAGGACTGAGTCACGTCCAGAGAACTTACTTGAGTTACGTGAGGACAAACGTAGCCTCAGACCCCTTTCTCAGAGCTGTGGTTTGGGGGAGGATGTGCATGTGAGTTTTGAACTTTACTTTTTTATTCAGATATTAACCCTAGGCACGACAGCCCACCAATCCCAAATTGTAACATTATTATTAGCTCTCAGAAGGCATAGACCCCCAAAATGCAAACCTGCTCTAAATACAAGGCCGTGTTTGTGAGTTTTGTTATTGATTTTCTCACGCAAGAAAATAATACAGCTTTTGGATAGACAAAACAATACAATTCTAACGTTTATTTGAATTGTGATTTCTTTTTTTACTTTTATTGCCCTTTTGCTTAATATGGAGATGCTATGGTCCTCCTGCTGTTTGGAAGGAACAGCACGTCCTCCCATGTAATTCCCCTCGGCTTCGTGCTCCAGCTCAGCGTCATGCCCGTAAACGCCTCCTTCTCTCTAACTGGGAAAGTGTTGCAACAAATCACCTACAGGAGTTCGTGTATGCACACTCTGTAAGCTAGGAAGGAGCAATGTTTTTATAGGAAAACCAGACTCTTGCATTGCATTTCGAATGGGAGGCGATTAGACGTGTTTTTTATTAGAGATTAGTACATCATGTTAGGTTAGAATCCACTTTTTAAAAAAATTATATAAATCATGAATGCTAGCTCCATTTAAAAATAAAGCGTTCGTCACTGCTCCCCACCCCACCTCCCTGCGTGCCGGCTCATCACAGACTCTTTGAGTTGCCGATGCTGGCCTGGCCTCTCCTCAGCTGCAGCTGAATAATGTTTTCAGAGGATCTTATCAAATACCTGTCTGTGCAGGCTTACATACAGGGGTTGGCAAGAGCAGATGTCCCGTTGTGAGTATGTGAAACACAGTTTGTTTTTGTATTGTTGTTTGTTCATTATTGTGTTTTCCATATGAGCAACTGTGAACGTACTTTCGCCCGCCCTGATATATTCATGTTTTTTTGTTGAAGGGGCCGCACATTTCCGAGTTTAGTTTAGACAATGTAACACTATAGAGACGAGGAACTGTACGTGGTATGAATAAGCCCTTTCTGAGGGCTATTGTTGGAGAGAAATGACTTTGAGCCTTTCTGACATTTATGAGCCCGAGTGGAATTTCATGGTAATGCATGTATGGGGCGAAAGGTTGGCGTATGGTAGGCATATGCGGTGTTCACGTAAGTCCATGAAATATTTGCCATGTGCGGTTCTACCATCTCCATGTCATACGATGGATCACGATTCTGTGAGGATCTTCACGAGTCTCCATTCGGCTCCTCTCACCTCTCCCGGGCCGATGGAAGACCCGCCCTTCCCCAGGCTGCATCGTGGGAGAACACAGCAAGAGGGGGAGAAGGAAAACGAGGGAACATTCTGTGTGTGTTGGCTTGTCATGTAATACAGCTAAACATTGTCTCTGCACGCTCATTTGGCGTCCAGGCCTTCAGGTGTGAGCGTGGGGGAGGGGGAGGGGAGCAGCGCCCACCGGCGTGTGGAGGAGGGCGCCAGTCACGCCAGGTGCGGGAAGGTGCCCCTTTACCTGTCTGTCTTTCCCCTCCCGTTTAACGAGTGCTTCTCCTTCCCATTGCTCAGGCCGCAAGTCTCGGAGACAACCCCGAATACTCCTTTTTCACACTCTCCTGCTGATTTCTTAGAGGTCAGACGGCTCTGGTTTTAAACTATATTTACGCAGCAGACTGAGAGAGATATCAAAGGTCTGAAAAACAAAGCTAACAGCTTCACGTAGCCAAGCCGCGTGGAATCACCAGGGAGGGGGCTTCCCTTTCTCCTAAGGCACACGGGTATTGAACGCAACGGACGGCAGGGTGGGTCATAGAGAAAGTGGAACAGATTTCCAAGAACTGAAGTCTTTGGGAGTGCGTTCTCTGGCCACCGGGGAATAAAGTTACATGACTCAAGAAAGAAGAAAGTGAAGTCCCATCGATGAGGCCGACATTGAGCACCACACTGGGAAACCCGGTGAGTTCCATTTGTGCTGAAGGGTTTTCAGTTCACATCCGCCGGGCGCCCGTGCCTGACTTCGGTGCCGTCACGGACACTCCTCAGTATGAGATGCTGATGAGAGACTGGACTCCAATGTCGGGGGTCAGGACACAGGTCAAGAGGCCGGCTGATTTCTGTGTAAATGCATACATGAGAGGTGACTGATGTCACCTCTGAATGACTGATATCATTCGGTCTGGAGAGAGATTTTCAAGCCAAAGTAACTATTAATCCAGAACTTAGCTCAGAGCTTAGCTGCCAACATTCCCTTAAGATCTCAGCACGTTGTTGCGGAGTCAGGTAGAAAGGCATTAGGTTGCTGAGTGGTGCCTGTCCTTTAGGTAAGTTTCTTTAAAGCTCTCCTTGTGTATGTTAAAATAGATTTACCTTGGGGTCTAATTACAACCCGTCTCAATGAAGCAATTTGAAGATGAGGCTGCACAGCCAATTCAAAGAGCAGCAGGAATAAGGTGCCCTGTGTGCCCCGTGGGATTTCTTTATTGTTTTGGTTGAGTTGCTGGAGTCCCAGATGCCTGCTGGGGCATGATGTAATGCATCGGAAGCATCTCTCCGAAGTACCTCCCACTGCCTTCTGAGTCAGCACCTGGTCTGCACTCATCCCAGCGTTAACGGTCCACCTGCGATTCAGGCCAGAGATTCCCGCTCAAATGCTCACGCCCAGGAACATGTCTATTAGCTGTGCGACTCCTGGATCCTGCCAGCCGAGGCTGTAGCATTGATTTCTCCAAGACTGGGGAGGGGGGATGTGGCAGGGACAGGATGTGTCTGCCAGGGGGGTGCACGCTGGCTCCAGAGGGACCCGGGAGGTGACAGCAGGTACGTGTCATGTGGGATTTAGACCTGGGTTAGCATCTCGATTCCCTCCTTCCCTTGGTGCCATACTGCCATCATCATAAAAAGGCATTTGTGCTTGCACGGTATCACTAAATAGTTTTAAATACTAGACAGTTCGTGGCTGATTTCGATGATCTTCTCTTAATCTTTCCACTCCTTCTGTGTTTGCACTTTTTAGTCTCTGTGTCCAAACCCGAATGCAGTAACTGTGGAATAGTCATGCCTGTTTTAGGGTCCAAGGGAACTGGGCATGTGCCATTCATTAATTCCTCAAAAATGTTTCAGCGTGGTGGGTAATTGACAGACCTTGGGAATATACAAAATGAAGAACTGAAAAATCACTGCTTTACGGAACTGACTGCGTGGCGTGGGGGGTAATGACCAAAGTTCAGACAGGTGTGCAGCGGCACTGACGGTTTCTATGACGACGTCCTGGCGCTGGAAGTTCAGCAGAGGCTCCTCTGAGAAAAGGATGCTTGACCTGAGATCTGAAAAGTAGCAGCTACCCAGGGAACCCCCTCAACACTCGACTAGTTCTCCAGGGACAGTACCAATACCTTACTACTCTTATGATTGCAACCTCTGTTATCATTACTTTGAATGGGCATGTGAGTAGTTTTCTTTATGATTTTTCTAAGTTGAGCAATAATATCATTTTAACAATATTTTTAAATAATCACTTTTAATAACACCTGGCAGATATTAAAAATGCAAGCATGCTCCCTGGCTGGTGTGGCTCAGTGGATTGAGCGTGGGCTGCGAAACAAAGGGTCGCTGGTTTGATTCCCAGTCAGGGCACATGCCTGGGTTGCAGGCCAGGTCCCCAGTAAGGGATGTGTGAGAGGCAACCACACACTGATGTTTCTCTCCCTCTCGCCTTCCCTTCTCCTCTCCCTTAAAAAAGATGAAAGCTGCTCACATGTGTAAACACCCTTAAATTTTTTCAGACTTCGGGAGAAGTTGCCAAAACAGCAGTACAAAGAACTCCCATATCCTCCTCGCCAAGATGCTCCAGTTCTTGACATTTCACCACAGTCGCCTCATCGCTCTCCATCCGCCCTGATGAGTCTTTTCCTGGACCATGGGAGAGGAAGTTGGACACCTGACACTCTGTCACTCTTACTGCTCCTATTTGTGTTCCTCCAAACACAAGGCCACTCTCCCGTCTGACCCTGTCAGTCAGGCCATCGACAATGACAACACAGTCATCAAGTCCCCCGCAAGGTCTGCCAACCGTCCCAACAACGTCTCGCCTCTTTCCTGGTCCCGGATCCAGCCCAGGCTGACATGCTGCATGTAGGAGGCGTGTCTCCTCAGCCCCCTTCCACCTGGGACAGCTCTCGTCTGTGACGGATCCCCGGGCCTTTCAGTCTGTAGTGTGTTCTGCATCTTGGGTGAAGACTGGGTGTCCAGTCTTTCCTCACGTCCAGACTCGGACCATCAGTAGCATTATGTTTAATAGCCACATCAATACCTTCCCTTTTCCATGAATTCATTCAAAACCATTTATCAAGCATCCGGTGTGTCAGCTGATGGCAATAAGGCCGTGAACAAAATAGATGAAACTTCTTGTCTTCCTGAAGCTTACAGGGCATGTCGTTATACAGTTGTACTGCAGCTGCCTCAATGAGTCTCCTCTTTTTGCCCCATTAGACTCTTCCCGGATTTTGTTATGATAAATTATGAGTCATGTTTCACTGAACATGCTTTAGTTGTAGCTTTGTGCGTGTCACGATTGTTCCATGCAGCTATGCTCCTTGGAAGTGAAAGGATCAGGTCTGAACAGCAGCTGTTTCAAAGATAGCTTTACATGGACTACCTGTTTCTTTCTAGAAGAGCCAGGTCTTCCCAAATTCTTACCACTGGTTGTTACCACTTAACGTTAATTCTTATTGCTTCGTCAATGAAAGCAAGCACGCTGTATTTCTTGGCTCCTATCAAATGAAGGGCTGTTTATTTGTAGCCTGTGTCTTCAATTTTCTAGCTTATAGATCACAACACGACAGTGGTGAACCCAACTGTAGCCTCAGTTGAAAGAGCAAACTGCTGACACAGCAATTTGTGTCAATGTTTCAAAACTGATGTATTTTTTGTTTTTGTATCACCAAAAACTGGTACAAGGTCTGCCTGGTACATTGTAGGCATGCAGCAAATGTTGGATTTAACTTTTTTCACATGTTATCATTATTAAACGTAGGTTCCGTTTTAAATGGAAGGGACACTCAGTGTTTCTCTAGTTTTATTCTCCTGTTCGATTTACTCAGGGATGAGGTATGAATAGTTTGTAGTGTACTTCATTACCATGGTAACAACCACAAACACCAGACTTTCAAAATGACACTTAACAAGTGGCAAAGTGCTGAAAAAGTTTTTCATTTGCATAGCGACATCTTGCTGGTTAGCAGTGATCGAAAGTAACAGAGGGTTCGGATAAAAACATGTCAAGCTGACTACTTTTTGAGCCATGGGAATGTTTGTGAAGTCACTGGAATTCAGAGACAGGGATGCTTTGGCTAATCTACAATCTGTAAAACTTTGTAAAATAAAAATGATACAGGAACATGGATGGGTTTGAGAGTATCCTGCTAAGTGAAGTAAGTCAGATGGAAATGGGCAAAAACATAAGATTTCACTCATATACGGAATATGAAACAGAAGATAACAAAGGAACTCACAAAGAAAACCAAACTCACAGGTACAGACGCAGAATGGTGTTCCCCGGGGGGAAGGGGGTGGGGGAGGGCGGAGTGGGTCAAGGGGTCGAACGCAGGGCAATGGAAGGACACTGGACTTATCGTGGGGCGCACACAGCTAAAAATGACGTCATGTCATTAACCAATGTTACCCCAACCTGTTCAGTTAAAAATGAAGGATTTACAGGGTTTGGAATCAAGAGACCTGGATTTTAGCCTCCCCTCCGCAATGAAATTAATGACCTCCTTTAATACTTCTGAATCTTAGTTTTCTCATTTAGGAAATATACACAATATTCCCCTGATGACAACACAGACTTGCATCGGATGGACCAAATGAAGTCATACCTGTGAACGTACATTTTAAAGTGTGAAGCAAATTACAAATATAAAATTGGACTCCGTTCCTACTGGAGGCTCACGCACTGGGATTCTCCGAGACCTAGAACTGAGGGGCTCGGGTACCTGGTTGCAATCCCCGTCACGGTCCTCTGGAACCGGCTTCTCCTGGCTGTGGCCCTGGCCACACGGCGCCGTCCATGTCCCAAAGCGCTGCATTGCCGCTTTAAGAGGATGCACTGAATGATACATACATTAAATCTCAATAAAGCTATTTTTTTTTTTAAAAAGCCCGTCAGTCAACCAGCCACCAAAGGCTTTTCACTGGACGCCTTTTCATGCGGGGCTCAGCCGTCTGGCCATATTACTGCATTTCTATTCTTACCCTCGCTCTCCGCTGCGTCTCAAAAGGTCAGCCCCTCGGACTTGATTACACTCAACGATTGCACTTCCTTCAGCCCCCAAGGAGGCTTCCCATGGTTCAGAGCAAGGGTGCTGGAGGCTAGGTTTGTCACTTTGCAGTTGTGTGACGCCGAGGCTTCTGGTGGGGTGATAGGAGCAACTCCTCCGTGGGGTCACCGGTGTGCGTATCCATGAGTCACGGCCCCACAGGGCTCAGAGCAGCGCCTGCCTGCCGCGTGGCGGCGCTATTTCACGGCAGCCCTCGCTGTGGCGACCCCACCCGAAACCGTGCCCCTGCTCGTCGTGTCTGCAAACCCAGGAGAGCCTTCCGACCGTCCGAGAGCCCTCCCTGGAGGGCCTGGACGTGAGCTGAAAACACGGAAACAAGCCGTGAAGTGCACACATGGCCTTTTATGACTGCCCGAGTCCGATTTTACTCAAGGATTTGCTTCCCTGATATAACTGATTTCCCGTAAAAGTCAGAAACAGAGTTTTGGATATTGTTTGCTTTTTTGCACATATGATGTGAGTATGGATGCATTTTTAAAAAATAAAAAAAATTTATTCATTGGTTTGAGAGAGAGAGAGAGAGAGAGAGAGAAACATCGGTTTGTTGTTCCATTTATTGATGCATTCAGTGGTTGCTTCTTGTATGTGCCCTGATCGGGGATCAAACCCACAACCTTGGCATATCAGGATGATGCTCTAACCAACTGAGCTACCCAGCCAATATGTATTAAATCCTTCTCTTTTTTAAAAAAATATTTACTTATTTTTAGAGAAAGGGGATGGAGGGAAAAGGAGAGGGAGAAAAACATCAATATGTGGGAGATACATTGATCAGTTGCCTCTCACAACTCCAACTGAGGACCTGGCCCACAACCCAGGCATGTGCTCTGACTGGGATTCGAACCAGCAAACTTTCGGTCTGCAGGCTGGCACTCAGTCCACTGAACCACATCAGCCAGGGCTAAATCCTTCTTAAAAATGTAAAGATAAAGAGAAAATAAATCTTTCTTGACACATGATTTATATAAATATAAATACATACATACTACATATGTGTAAAATCTTCAGTGTAGCATTTTTGTGTATCCCCTTGAAAGTCCCTGGCACACAGTGATGTTCAACAAGTCCTTGAAGAACTCAGTGAATGAATGGGCGCTGATAATGTGAGTTCATTTCCTGTTTCTGGGAACTCATGCCCTGATGCTTAGCAGCAAACTGGCTGTGATCACCATCATCTTGTGTTTATGTGTTACATTCTGCTCTCCAAAGCACACTTATGTTATTTTTACAGTAGCATAACATACGGAGGACACGGATTTTGTGTTCCAGTTACCCGTGTCATAGCTGCATTTGCATTTGCAGTGTGTCTCACTTAGAAACATTTCCGTAAGTTTTTATTACCTCACTTTGTCCTCAGCACCATTCCATGAGCTAGATCGGACAGGCACAAAGGAGAAGACAAGGACTGCAGCACCTACAGGAACCCACGCAGTCATAGAAGTAGGCTGGTTGTGGAGTTGAGACTAGCGTGGAGATGTAACGCTTCACTTTGTCTTGGGTGACATTCCCATCCCGGCACCAACCTTTGTGGCCTGAAGGAGGCAGTGCTGCATTTGGTCAGCTGGGGCAGAGAGGACGGCCAAGGAGATTTCCAACTATGGGGACCCAGAGTGAAGGAGAGAGAAGAGTTCTTCAAATGAAAATGTGGCACTTTTTTTCAGGAGACGGATTGAATGCTGGGTTGGACAAAACAACGCCTGAGCATTGTGCCATGAACCCAGCGTTTTACCCCCCTTGCCTTTTCTTACAGAAAATTCAATTTTCTGTGTTTCTCTCAACACCTGTTTGTAAAATGATGGGTCCCAAGTTGTTCGATGACCGGGTCCTCTCCTCCACTGCCCTAACAGACCACACCCATACCGTATGGAACAGCTTATAGACTGGGGTGGTCAGGGTTGCTGAAGCCTTTTCTTTCACTTAAAAGTTTTATTTTAATATCTTTGGCAAATTTGAACTTCTCAACCAGTAATTTTGTTGTTTTTCTTTATTTTTACTTTTTGTACTTTTTTTTGGTATTTATCCCTCTTATACCTTCTCACCCCCCACAATCACCACATGGTTGCCCATGTCCATGAGTCTTTTTTCTTTTTCCTCGATCCCTCCACCATTGTCCACATACACAAAGGAAAACTACTCAGCTGTAAAAAAGAAAAGGAAATCTTACCCTTTGCAACAGCATGGATGGACCTGGAGAACATTATGCTAAGCGAAATGAGCCAGTCAGAGAAAGACAAATACCATATGATCTCACTCCTATGTGGAACCTAATGAACAAACTGAACTGAAAGCAAAACAGAGACAGACCCATAGATGGCAAAATTTGCTGTTTTTCAGTGAAGAAACAAACAAACAAAATAACGCATGTGAGTGCAAGTGGGTGTATTTTTAAAGGAGACTGCAGTGGGAGTGCAGGGGCAGGGGTCCCAGAGAGGCAACGAGGATTCCAGGTTTGCTTAAGAGAGCTAACCGTTCTGAAATAATACTGCTGTGTCATGCTGGATTGTGCATAAATATAGCAGAAATGCTCGAATATACACGACTATACATATCACACATGTATTTCTAAAAATCATTAGGACCAAAAAAAGTTATTTAGTTTTGTAAGACTGGTCACTTGTATAGATTCGAAGCTCCATCTGTCTCTCCAGAATGTAAGCTACCTCTTCTCCTTCAAATAAGAAGAAATTAGGATGGAGTGTACATGGAGTAGAAGAGGGAGCAGTCTGAAGACCGGATTCAAGTTCAACTTCTGCCTCCTTGAGAAATTATGGAATGTTTCTGGGCTTTGCATGGGCAGGGTGGGGCGGAGTCGGCTCTCTCCGACCTCACAGTCTGAATGGTGCTTTTGAAGTCACAGCGGGAAGGGTGTCGAAGACTGCCTATCCCATTCTCTGTGTCTTACAGATGTAGGAACTGAGGCACAGAGGCACGAGCTGATTTATCTGAGTAAGCATATGAGGGAGACCCCAAAAAGGAATTTATTTATAAAAAACTGTGTACTTTGTGTATTTATTCTTACATATGTAAACTTCAACCACCTTCAGAGAACTCTCCATTTGATGCAGTAGACCTATTGAGACTTTTTTTCCCACTGCTTGAAACAGTTTTTGACCTCACAGATTTTGATGCTATTTAGTGCTTCTGCAGTTTTTTGTTTCACCTCTTCCACATTGTCAAAATGTTTCCCTTTAAGGACTTTTCATCTGGGGAAACAAAAGAAAAATCACTTGGAGCGAGACTGGGTGAACAGCAAGGGTAGAGCATTGGGGATCATGTTGTTTTTGGTCAAAAACTACTCAAAAAAGTTATTTAGTTTTGTAAGAAACACTCAGCGCACTGAGTGGGCAGGTGTGCTCGTAAATCACCCATCATGAACTGGGCAAATGTGTTGAAAGAGTCTTAAAAAAAACTCACTGAAGCAGAATGCAGCCTCTCACAACAACACCAGCTGGTACACTGACACAGATGGGTTCCTAGAACACTCACCTAGTGGGGGAAGCCTGTACTACAAGGGGCCTGTCCTCCAGAAGATAATTTGGTTTGGGGGGTTCCCCCTCACAGAGCTGGTTATTTTTAAAGCTGTTCAGAAAACTGCTAAAAACAACTGATGAAAACTTGAAGCAAAAGGGGAGTGAAATGTTTCTTTCTTGCCTCTCCTGCCCTATATGTTTGACCATTTGTGCCCCTTATCACTTGTAGAGAAAAGACATGGGGTGCAGAGGAGGAGGGCAACGTAGCTGAGAAGTGACATGGCAGGAGGACCCGAGGGAGGGGAGAGGGCTGGTCCTCTGGTGTGACATCACAGCGAAGCTCCTTCCAAAGGACTGGAGCAGTCTTATCTCGCCCCCTTGTCTTGGAGTCAAATTATAACTCTATTTGTCTCCTAAGTATACTTTCTGACGGTGCCAGGTAAACAGCTCTTTGGAGACATTCTGAGCTGCACTGTCATATAGCGCTTCCAATTTGGCTCACCTCGAAAGCTTATCGGAGTGAGAGACTATCAATACTTTTCCAAGCCATTTTCAGACCTTTCAAGTTGTGTAAAATGAACAGTTCTACTTCTCCTTTCTGCACAAGTGACTGGACCTCTGAGCTGATATTCGTCTGCAAACACCAGAGGAGAAATCTTTCCTCTTGCCCTCAGCTCTCCATCTGGATTCATATTGAATGTGGGCTCCTTTTCAGACAGCAATGCTC